ACCGTGCAAGGGCGAAAGACACGCGGAGGAGAAGCAAGCCGCACAGCGCACCCACACACCCGCAACGCGAAGGACCGGGCAGATCCACGTCCACCGCACAGTCTGCCGCTGCCGCATATTTGCCCTCACCGATCCGCACCACGCCGCACTGCAGGCTGCGATGGGTGGTGCCCCACACACTCGCAGCAAGACACGCCGCACACCCCGCACATTCTCTCCCTCCGCAGCGGGTGCCTTCAAAGCGGCGGGCGGACACCCCGTCACTCCCGTGCCATCGCTGCGGAAAACCTGAAGAATCCTGCTCGTGAACTACCGGTGCCTCTAGATGGAAGAAGAAGAAGAGGAAGAATGAAGGCATGTCAGCGGCACAGCCAGCAGCGGCAGCAAACACAACACGGAGACACGCAACGACAGCGGTGAACACGGCGCAAACTAAAAGTAATCCGCAGTGATTTACCAAAGAAAAAAAAGAAAAAATTAAAGTGGAGGCTCAGGAAAATTACTGGCGGAAACAAAAACAAAAAAAGATAAATAAATTACCTCGGCAAGCGTTTTTTCCTCACGTGTCCAAAGGCACAAGAGGAGTGTGTGTGGGTGTATTTGTGTATTCATTGCATAGAAGAAACGGAAAGAAAATAAATCCCTAGCCACACTCACGCATCACGGTTACCCGTCACGGTCTCCGCGGCCTCGTGTCTCGTTTGGGCGGTCCGTGCAACGCACAGCCACGAGGCAGGCACCGCGTGTGTGTTGATGGCAGCGGCAAACAGGAGGGGAAGGGGCGCCACCCATTGGGATGTGTGTAGCAAACGACCATTGAAACAAAAGTGAAAAGAAAAAAGCAAAGGAGTACCCCTCAAAGCACAGGAGAGGAGTTGGCCCACAGAGACCACACGCAAACTCGGTGCACAAACACTCTGCGTCGCCCCGCCAGGGTGTGTGCGTGTGTGTGTGCGGTTGCCCTGCAGCAGTCAATCCCCAGCAGCACAGACAACAGCAGCCGTCAGCAGCAGCAGCAGTGTGCCACGCGCCCACACAGTGGGCGTGCCGCAGCCGTCCGCGTTGCCCTTTGCATGTTTCCCACCACTGGGGCTGCTGGCGGTCGTGGTTGTAGTGGCGCTTTCACCATCGCCGCCGGCGAGAGTGTCGGAAGTGGACGTGCCGGATGGTTGCGCGGAGGCCGAAGGTGCATGCGCCGCACCGTGTGCATGTGTCCCGCTGTCTGCTACGGCTTTTGGTGGATCCGCACCGTCAGCCGATGATGTTAATGTTTCCTGACTCCCCGTGGATCCGGTACTGCCTGGCTGCCCAGCAGAAGCAGCAAAGACTCCAGCACCCGCACTGCCGCTGGCCGAAGCACCGTCCTGCGGAGTTCCTGCCGAAGATGACGTTGCTTTTTGTGATGGCGACGGTTGGCCTCCAGAAATTTGGGATCCAGGCCTCTCTCCCACCGCTAATTTATCGGAAGCTTTTAACTCACACTCGCCCGACTTCCCAAGTGGATCGCCACCAGTTCCAGCGGAAGCGACGGCTTTGCCGTTCGCCAGCTTGTGCAGTGGACTGTCGTCTTCCGCCGTACAGTCCATCATGAACGCAACAACATTACTGTTCTCCCCTGCTGAAGGTGGAGAGCATTTAGTCTCCTTGACGGGGAAATAAAATGATCCAGCAAATACGCAGATGGAGTCACTGTCAATTCTGGTTTTACTGGACGTATGGGCAGTAAAAGGCCCATGATAATCCACCGGCTCCGGGCACAACGTCCAAGAGGTATTCCTGTCAGAAACACGCCAACTTAATTTTCTTTCACCGTTCGGACACGACACCTCCACCGCATAAAACTTCGATGGCGCCGACGCCCCGCACACGGAGGAGCAGCCGCAGAGCAGCGCAAGCACCGCCAGGGCAGAGAGAAGAAACAAAAGGGCAGCAGCTCCCCGAGCTCACGGAGAGGGAAAACTCAGCCCGCACGGTACCACCGGCACAAATAAATATAAATTCACACCCCAATTTATATCG